ATTTGTTGGAGGGTAGAGATAAGATATGGACAAGCCAGTCCTGGATGGGAACTTACAAAACCTTTATATCTTCATTCTCAAGTTTATTGAGTGCAAGATACTGTTCCAAGGTCTAAGTTGTGTGAGGAAACAAAACAGAAATGGCTTCTGCTCACCTGAATTTAATTTTGTAGTGTTTTTATATTATTTGTATTAGACAGTATTTAGTTCACCGAACTATTCATTCCATATTTGCTTTCATTTACGTGGATATTATAACTTCCTTCTAAATATGGTACATATAAAACTTTTAAATTTTTATTCTAAAGACATTATAGTATATTTACTAGGAGAAAGTAGCTAAACTGAGAACTTTTAAGGAACTTTTAATGGAAATACTTGTAGCAATGTCCATAACTTGAGAACACTGGATTTTAATAAAATACTGTCCATCATTGTATCTCATTGACAATATTGATATTATAACAGCCCTAAGCAAAAAATAGTCATGTAGGTGGTAATGTCATCTGCATGGCAAGCAGGTGAAACAGCACCAGAGAAACATGCCCTGGCCTGGTAATGAAGCTGTCTAGGAGTCTTTGCTGCTCCAGTCAATTTCTCCTCACCCATTTTCATGTAAATAACTCCAATAAAAACTCATTGGTTTGCCAACTTGAACTTCAGTGGTATCTGTACTTCAGTCTGTCAAGGGCTCCCTATCCAGGATGAGTAAATGAGTATGTGGTGTCTTCCTAGGAAAAGTGTTGTTATACAGCAGTCTACTTAAAACATGGTGGCTCGCTTTAAAAAAAGAAAAAACTGAGCTTACTTAAAACCAGAATCGGGCAAAACACACACTATTAATAAGTGTCAATATCAAGATTAAAATATATCCCATGCTTTTAAACATTGTATTTCCCCATTTGTTAAAGTTCAGATTCAAATGTGTGCCTATCACACTAAGTCACAAAAAAGCTTGATGCTTTCTTTTATAAAGTTCAGTAAAATAAATAGCTAGTTCATTGTAATTTAATATAAACATTAGTTAAGTGCAAGATAATTATTTGCAGTATATTAATATTTTTTGTACCAGCAAAGAACGAAATTTCTTAAATAGGTAAGTAACTTATTTGATTTAAGAAGGTTTCAATTGTGTGGCACTATACAATTATTTTTAAGAGCAAAAATGTTAGCAGATAACAAATACTTGCATTTATTATATATTGATCTTTAATTTCTTTTTCCTATAATTTTTTATTTAAGCCATATAATTCCTTTTTTCTTCCTTTTTTTCTGCATCAAGGTTTCCTCTGTGTAGTCCCAGCTGTCCTAGAACTCTCTCAGTAGACCAGGCTTGCCTTGAACTCAGAGATCCACCTGTCTCTGCCTCCCAGGTACTGGGGAAAAAGGTGTGCACCACCACTACTGGCTTCTCTCCTTTCTTATTATTCAAAGTCTATTCGTAATTATTTGGACTCCAGAGGTCATATTTCTAACACTGTATATCGTAACCTTTTATGACATAACTCAATAGGCTATTTATCTAGAAAGCATGAGGACAGTATCTGGGTCAACATGAAATATCTGGCCTTCTTGGAAATGAGGTTTGTATCTGTCTATTGTGTCTTTGAAAGTAATGTATTTCAGATAAATATATGAGTTCATATTTTTAAAAACTATTTCCATAGATAGTTTGGAGGCTTTAAGTCTTAAACTTTAAATATTGGTTGAGTGGCTTTTGTTTCTAGAATAAAAAGTGTGTGTGTGTGTGTGTACCAGTTTCTTTGATGTTACATATTTTAACTTAAAGATAATTCATTTTAATTCAAATTCCTTCTCCATTCATAGATTCTTAGGCTTTGAAAGAAAATTATAAGTCTTCAGGCCCAGATATGAACCCAAAATAGGAACAACTGACTATATAATATCCTTTTGTGTGTATGAATGTGTTCAGGATATTGTAGGAGTGTGGGAACATGCACAAGTGTACGTATGTATGCATGTGGAGGTCACCAGTTGACCTCCAGATATCTTCCTCAACCCTCTTTCAATTACTTTTTAAGAATATGTTCCATTGAACTTGGAGTGTACTGATTTGGCTAGATTGGCTGGCCAACAGGCCATGGAGTCTTTTCTCTACCTCCCCAGCACTGGGATTACAGGCACCAGTTTCCTGCTCCTGGCTAAAGATTCAAGTTCAAGTCCTCCTCTTATGTAGAGAGCACTTTCTCTGACCAACCACGTCAATAATCTTGGTAGATTATTATATGATTTCTCTTTGAAAACTCTGAGTGACAATGAGGTCTACTGATAACTAGATATTCACTACATTTTGTTTAGCTATTAAGAGGTTTTTAATCCAAGCCATATATTTTCTCCTCTTTGTTACTGTACAAACTCTATTCCTAACTATAGTTATTTGTATTCATGATGGTATTATGCTTCTATCACTGTACATCTTACTCCTTTATGACTTAACGTTCTTTGTACTTTTATGATATAATCAACACAGATATTGTTTGCTCTAATATCTCAACCTCCTTGATAATCCATTTATTATGAAAGTGTTTTCTCCTTTGAGAACTGAATGAATGAATGGTCTTATTGGAGATTTAGACTGATGCTATACTTTTCCTGGTCCAGTTTGGCTTCAATATTGTTTGCCTTGGCAGCCTAGTTTGCCTCATAAGCCCAGTGAGTATTTCTTTTATTAACTCAGATTTTTTTTTTTCACATGAGAAAGTAGTATCAACTTTGCTTTTCACTTGATGGGTATTTTACTGACATCTTTGCAAAATCAGAATTACATGAAGGCATATGACCTAGAATTCCAGAAGACCATTGTTTTCTTTCTTACTACTGGTTTTGGAACACAATGTAATTGCTATTAACTTTATCAACTTCAGAAATTTAATGTCTTGGGATGTTTTGGCTTATTACATGAAAAATAGAGACAGTTAAACTGAAGAGTCTCAGCTGGAATGGTTTTTAATTTAAAGAGATTATTATCTCTCAAATATTTTCAAATTTTTACACCATGTCCACTGTAATTACTTTCAGCTTCAGTAAGGAACTCAGGAAGAGTCCACTGAGGATATGATCAAGTATAATTACCAGATATGAAACATTTAATCAAGCTAGAGAGGTAGAAAAGATGATAGGTAGGACTCATTAATAGTTTTGTGTAGATATGAGATATAATAAAAAAGCAACCTAATATTTTTAAGCAGAGAATGACAAGTGAGATCTGTATTTGATACAATTTCTTTTAAGATTACAGGTGAATTAAGAAAGCTGATTTAAAAACTACTAGAAAAACATATGGGAATGGTAGAGCATACCTTTAATGCCAACATTTGGGAGGCAGAGATAGGCAGATCTCTATGAGTTTGAAACTAGCCTAGTCTACATTCAAGCTAGCAGTGGCTACATAGTGAGTCCCATCTGAAAAAAGATAATGCAAACTGGATTTGGAAAGGATAGAAAAGGAACTATGAGAAGTAATAAAAAGAAAATGAACTCTGAAATTACTGCTAAATTCCCGATTAATGCAACTGAGATTTTAGTGATACCATTAGTGAAGCTCACTCTGCAAGAAACCTGTCTTAAGTTTGGAAGAGTTGGATGTTATAGATTTGTTCCAAAAATGTTGCTTTTAGAAGACTTGGATGGATACAATTCAAGAAGCACAAAAACTTGTATCTTTGATCAAGAAATGTCAAGACTTTGAAAAATATAAGATATTTGCACAATAAAACAAAAAATATATTGTAAAATGGGCTAGAGAGATAGATAAGTAGCAAAGAGCATTGGCTACTCTTGCAGAAGACCCAGGTGAAATTGCCAGATCTACATACTGGCTCACAGATGTCTGTAACTCCAGTTTGTGGGGATCCAATGCTTCTACTGACCCCTGTGCATACCAGACATGCCCATGGTTCACAGCACCCATATACATACATACATACATACATACATACATACATACACACACACACACACACACACACACACACACACACACACACACACACATATATATATATATATATATATATATATATATATATATATATATTTCAGCTACTGTGGAAACCAGTGTGGTTTCTCAGGAAAATAGATATCGGTACACCTCAAGATCCAGTTATACCACTCTTGTACATAAACCCAAAGTGTGCTTCATTTTACTACAGAGATGCTTATTCAACCACGTTCATTGCTACTGAATTGATAATAGCCAGAAATTGGAAACAGCCCAGTTGTCCTCTCAACAGAATAGATTTAAAAAAAAAAAAAAAATGTGGTACATCTACACAATGGAGTACTATTCAGTCATTGAAAAACAATGAAATTTGCAGGTAAATGGATGGAACCAAAAAAAAAAAAAAAAAAATCCTGAGTGAGATATCCCAGTCTCAGAAAGACAAATACAGATTGTCCATACAACCACAGAGATTAGGTGTAGAGTAAAGGACTGGTGGGGAGATAAGTCTCATTAAAATGACTCCTATTAATATTCTTCTGTACTCATAGACCACGCCTTGCTCAGCCATCATCAGCGAAGCTTCTGCCTGCAGCACATGGAAATAAATATAGAGACCCACAGCCAGACATTATGCAGAGAATGAGATACTATAGAACACTCAGCCCTAAATAAGATGTCTTCATTAAATCCTTTCCCTCAGAGCTCAGGAAACCCTAGGGAAGAAGAGGCAGAAAGCATGTAGGAGTCAGAGAGCATGGAGGACACCAAGAAAACAATGTCCACCTTCTAAACCAACATGATCAAAGCACATATTTTATTTTTATATACCTAATAACTTTATGAAAAAATTAGAATTAAGATATTTTATTAATAATTTGCTTATTTCATGAAACTAACATAAAAATTTTGTACTTTACATGTTAAACTTAATAGTATTACATATATTTTGTGTATTTTGTTAGCACATGAGTTCAATATATACATAACCTGAATTTACCACAGTTTTCAAATTTAAAAAAAATTTTAATATACTTACTTGAAATAAAAAAATATGATGAGAGAGATGAGCAGTGATGCAATAGATAATCCATGTCCAATTATAGTTAGGTAGAACAAATTCAGTGCGGTCTATAATTGTGATTAAAAAATAGAATGAATTCTGTATCTAAAATCTACTTATATATTAGATAAGATGCAAATTAATCAATTTTATTTTAAAAACATGTTGACAGATTTATAATCACTTGTTTAAAAACCAATAAATATTTAGAAACATGTAAATGAAGTACATCTATTCAAATTTACTAAGTGAGTATTCAAATACTTATAAGTCATGTTTCTTTCTAAGAAATCAGAAGTCACATTTTAAATCTTTGAGGTAATGCATTTCTTGATCTAGTTTTCACTGTATATAAAATCAGTTTTTATATTTAAAATCAAATGATACTCAAGATTTGGCTTATTCAGAATTAAATACCTGATAAGGCTTCCTTTATCTATTTAGGTTTTTTTATTTCTTTTCCTAAATCTGAGGCTCAGAGACAGATCTTAATATGGCAAGTTAATAAAACCTTTGATCTATATAAATATATTTTAACATTCTCTTTTTAGTTTTTCTTTTCTTTCTTTTTCTATTTGCATTCCATATTTATAGAGGGTAGGTGGGTGGGTGAGTTGCTTGGTGGGTTGCTTGGTTGTTTGGTTGATTGGTTTGTTGGTTGGTTGCATGATGGGTTGGTGGGTGGGTAGGTGGGTGGGTGGGTTGCTTGTTTGGTTGATTGGTTAGTTGGTGGGTTGGTTGGTTGGTTGGATTGTTGGATAGTGAGTTTGTTGTTTGGTGCGTTGGTTGGTTAGGGTAGGTGGGTTTGTTGGTTGGTTGACATTTTAGTTGGTAGGTTGGTTGGTTGCTTGCTTGGTTGGTTGAATGTGGATTTGGTTGGTTGGTTGGTGAATTGGTTGATTGCTTGGTTGGTGGGTGGGTGAGTGGGTTGGTTGGTTGGTTGGTTTGGGTTTGGGGTTTGGGTTTGTAATGTAAACACCTCTGAATAAGCAAAGCACACATGATACACAAATACAATAATACCTTGCAATTATTGAGTGTTTACACTACACTTGTCTTTTAAGAGCCACTGAAAGAAAACTACAGTTATCCTTTTGAGTACACAAAAGATTTTTTGTCTGTGGCTATGGGGTAGATAAAGTGCTAAAACAGGAAGCATGTAGCACTTTTAATTATACACATACAAACTGTAACACATAGAAGTATTTTGAAGCTTCATTCTGTGAGTATTGTCCTTAACTGTCCTTTTAATTCTAAGTTTCAAGGCAAGAACATGACTGAAACGGTCCTGCACAGTCACTTAGGATGGGTGCCTTCTCCTAAGGAACCTATCCTGTTGCCTACAAGCAATTTTTTAGGTAATTCTAGAATTCCACTAGAAATGAAAGTTTTCCTTTATAGTATGCTTTTAAGTTATATTTTCTTTGAAAAATATGAAAGCCCAATTCCAAGGCTCTGACTTGTAAAAACACTGTTACCTAACAAGATTACTTCCCCAGTGCAATGACAGAATCAGTAGCAGCTTTTCCACAGATTTTTCTCATTGCTCTCAAATGATATTAGGAAATGGCTTTAGTGTGGAATAGAGCATTGCTTTCTTGTTCCCCATTCTTATTGAACTGTTTAAAAGTGTAAACCAAATTTCAACTCACACTTGTAACATACCTTCACTTTTTCATGTGTGCTATTATTACACAGAGTATAATTTGTCCATGTTCTGTTACTATCTGGATGTCTAAACCAGTTTCCATCTTGGTCACAGATCTTTGTAACCTTTTCTGTAAAAAGAAAAAAAAATTAAAAGAGGCAGGAGGGAGGGCCCAGACCCTACACCAAATAACTTGACAGATTTTGATGATCCCACCTAGAAGACATCACCCTCCCTGTGGAGTTGGAGGGGATGGGATGGAAAGGGAGGTTAGGGGACATGGAAGGGAGGGAAAATGAACTGGGATCAATATATAAAATAAAAAAATAATAAATATACATTTTAAAAAATTAGTTCAATAAACCTACAGTTTAAACAATAAAAATTTTTATTGTTTAAATGAATTTAGAAATAGAAAATTAAAATCAAGATAGTTATATACTGCAACTCTTTCTAGACTACTTTTGTAATACGTTCCAAATGCATTTAATAAACACAATGTTCACTAATCAGATTTCAATAAGATCTATAACTAAATTCTACCATATACCTGAAGGATCAAAATCCTGAAAATAATCAGGGCAATACTGCATTGATTCAGTTCCTGCTGCAACATCATTCCAACACAGCCATCCATCCCATGTTCTGTTGCAGTAAAGGCCTTAGAGAGGAGATAAAAATGAGGGATCACTAAGTCTCTGTAACTACTCAGGAAAACAAACTCTTAAGAAAGCTTTCTCAATGCCTTAATGCAATAGAAGTCTCCTGGAAATGAAGATAGTTCTGATGCCCAACATTAACTTTTGGTACTTAAACCTTTATCTAGATCATCTGTAAAGAGTTAATTCAATATGGAATAAAATTATGTCAGTTGACACAGAATTGCTATACAAATGTTTAATTACTTTATACTTCAATCTTATTGATGTCCTAAATCAGATAATTGTTTTTGCAAATATCAAAACATACTTTTCTGCCTGCTACAATAAAAATACTGGTGCAGCTCCAGTAAATAAATAGTTCTGAAATATTAGTAGATTAAATTAATCTTGAAGGTGCTAAATGTGAAAAAGGGTTTTGCTATTTCTAAAAGCAGAGCCCTTTTTTGTGTTTGTTTGTTTGTTTGTTTTTGGTTGTGGAGACAGGGTTTCTCTGTATTGCTTTGGAACCTGTCCTGGAACTAGCTCTTGTAGACCAGGCTAGTCTCAAACTCATAGAGATCTGCACACCTCTGCCTCCCGAGTGCTGGAACTAAAGGCGTGCGCCACCAATGCCCGGCAAGCAGAGCCATTTTTAACTGTAAATATATTGTACTTTCTTATTTGACTACATACAAGTGTATTATTAATGTTTTTTTTTCTAAATGTTTTGAAATCTTTCTTTTCTCTGATAGGAAAAAAAAAAACAGAATTATCTAAAGGGTCCACTTTGTATCCTATATTTGAAACTAACTCTCCGTTGGGCTTCCCAGATTAAAACAGGAAGTTCTTTTGGGTTTGGATACCTATGGAAACTCTACTTTGGTTATTCATCTTTTATGTCCTGAATCAAGGCATATGTCTGGTACTTGGCATTAATGACACAGGCTTTTCTTAAGGAAAATAGAAACACTTAGACTTTGATAGCTTTGCTACCAAATTTGCTATGAACATATGTGTGTTATTAAAAAAAACTGCATACAAGTTTTATCAAGCAAGGTGTTTTTTAAAATAATAAATTAACAAATTACATAGACTGAAGGTCAATGATTATTGACTTGTCTTGTTTTAATATTAGCATATATTAGTATTTTTATACCTTTTAAAGGATAATTCTGGAAAATTCAGTGTATGGAGTGTTTTGTTAAATTTTACTAAAAAGAATGAGTTGAATCATGTCATAAAATACACTTCACAAATACATAATGAAAAGAAACAACTAATTAATTTTTAATTAATGGATGTGAAGAACCCACATAGATAGTTCTTTTAAATATTTGTAAAGTATCTGTAGAATTAGTAGTAGCTACCTTCTGCCTGTTGAACAGGATCTTGCATAATCTTTTGGTAACATTCATATTGAGCAGTCATGATCTTGTTTCTAGTGACTCCCAGTTCTGTTTGGTTAAAGCCTTCTTCTTCTTCTGGCTCTGCTGTGACAAGAGTCTAAGGGGGTAAAACAACAATGGCTTTAGAATGGTGGAAATTAGTGAGCAAACTGGTGGAAAACAGCAAGAACAGTGAGGTGCTTGATCACTAGGTGACTCTCATGAGGAAAATCCCCAGAGTGTGGTATTCACCAATTTCTGTAGTCTAAACTCTTACTGTGTCCAGTTTCAAACAGCCTTCAGGGTGCTGCCAATGACAGCACTGAGAACCACCGGTGACTCTCCGAAGACTCTGGTAGTTGGCTGACTACAGCACAGCCTAAAGCACTGTTCTGAAATGCAAATAGCCATATTTACAGCCCCCCCCCAATGTTTTCACTTGCTCTGTGAATGTTAGCAAGGTATCCATCACTACTACGAAGACTCTATTTCATAGTAAAACAGTAGAAAATAGCATCTGGATATCAGGGAGTAGCCATCCCATGGAAAATAACCAAACTTTGTACATTTGTAATAACAAAATAATAATTTCCTCACTGCATGGCATCATCAGGTAATAACCTGATTAGCACTAATATTGACTGTTAATTTCTGGTAGGTTTGAAGTAATAAATGAAATCCTAGACCATCATGACTATTTTTAAGGCATTTGATTTTATTTTTCAATGTTGGGGGTTGAACCCAGTGGCTATGTAAGTTAAGCAAGCACTGTAGATTCTGAGCTTCATCCTATCCCAAGACAATATTAGAAAATCAAAATAGATAAAACAAAAGCCATTTCTCTGAAAAGGTTTGTAGAAATTAAGCAAAGTAGTAATAATTTCTAACACACTGTCCATGGATGAATTCAAGAGAAAGGGCCACAGTACCTTATATTACACTAAGCTGATTGGCAAAATGCTACAGTGTTGCCTTCAGGAAACTGGTGCTGGCCCATGTAGCTTGCTGGCACACTTAACTGAGGGTGGTAGCTGAAGAAACAGTTCTGTCCTTTGAAGTCTAGTCACTTACCCAAGATAATATCTCCGAAGTGCAGACACTAGACTACTTCTAGGCTTGAGGATGTTTTCCAATGTATGTACTTACAGAAATGTAATATTGTTTTTTTTTTCTCATGTAAGCTTTCAGTACTGGTTTTTAATTCCTTTGTTTGAACCTTTTTGAGGGCTTTGCTTAGAAACACCACAGGAAAGTTCTTTGCTAGCACAAAATTAGATGAGATTATGTCTCTGGGTTTCCCGCTCACATAAAGAAAGAAGAGCATCATTGGCTGCTTTAGTTCAATGCAAAGAACAAGATAAAGAGAAACATGACTACAGATAGGAAGTGAGACCAGGAAGCATGTAGCTCTTTGGGGTTTGGTAACCCTCTGACTTTACTTCTAGCTTCATATCAATGACACACACATGTAGAGATGCACATGGATGTACACATACACATGGAGGCACACTTGACTTGCCCCAAATTCAGCATCAAGATCTATTTGAATGAGTGAATTAACGAATAAATGAGTAAACAAATACAAAATACATTACATATCTCCTAGATTTTTTTTCAATCGATACGTGACAATCAATTGGTGAAACAAAACACATTTGAAAGACTAGAATATGGGGTTTTTTCTTACAAATAAGTGAATAGGTATCTCTCTAAAAATATATTATGTGCTGTGTGCAAACCACACTATTACAAAGTATCACCCCAATGTTCTTCTAACTCTACCACTTTAACACGAGATTTGCTCATTTGAATCCATTGATTTTTCCAACCTCCTTCAAGGACCCAACAGTCCATACTAGTTATAGAAATTCAAAGCAGAAAAAACTACTGAAAAGAAGTGGATTGTTGCTGTGTTACTTGGATATAAAAATGAAATCAACTTATTTATCTAATAACTACTTTAATTTATATTTATTAACTTTTATCAATTTGGTATATAAATAAGTAAAGCATAGCCATAACTAATAAGATCGGATACTTACCATATTAAAGGGAAGGAGAAACATAAAATAGAATATATGTTTTTTCTCCATCATTAGAGTCCAAATGAACTTGTAGTATGTTCAAACTGTAATAAAAATGAAATAAATAAAATTCATTACTCATGAAATCAATATAAGCTTCAAAAGAAAATATCTGTTATAATGCTACAGTAATTCTAAAAATTTGATTAGTAGTCCTACAAATATTGAGAACATTGTGGCTTAAAGTAAAACAGAGTTTAGTGAAATATATTCTAGTTTAATTTGACTTACAAATAAGAAAACACTGCATATGTATTTTTGTGAGTAATTAGAATGTATTTTGCTTTCTTTACCTTTACCAAAATTGAAATAAAACTACTTAACTACAAACATAATCAGCTTTTTGTGACTATCTTTTACATTTTATTATATATATATAGTTATCTTTATTAAGTTTTATGTAGTATTATCATTAAGTATTGTGTATTATTAAGCATTATGTAAGTATTAAACTTATCTGTAACTTTCTGACTTAAATTTAATGAAGGAAATTTATTCTCAGGCCAATTTCTTGATAATTAACATACAAACAACATAAATATGAAGTTTCAAGCTGCTGGTTTACTAGGGAGGCAAAGGCAGGAATATCTCTGTGAGTTTGAGGCCAGGATGGTCTACAAAGTGAGATCTAGGACAGCCAGGACTGTTACACAAAGAAACCCTTCAGAAAGAAAGAAAGGGAGGGAGAGAGAGAGAGAGGAAAAAAGAAAGGAAGGAAGGAAGGAAGGAAGAAACAACGAGAAGGGGGGAGGGAAGGAAGGAATTTTGATTCTTCAAGGTAGAAAATGGTAATTTATGTTAGTACAGATTATCATTGGATGGGTTTTAAATCTCCTAGAAGACAAGCTTGCAGGCACATCTGTGAGGCATTATCCACATTAAATTAGCTTCTGGGGACTGAAAAGACAACCAGGGAGCCTGCATGGGACTGATCTAGCCCCTCTGCACATATGTTAAGTTGTGTAGCTTGGTCCTCCTGTGGGACTCCTAACTGTGGGAAGAGGGGCTGTCTCTGACTCTTTTACAGGCTTTTGGGACCTTAATCCTCATACTGGGTCTCCTTGTCTAGCCTTAATACATGAGGTGTTTAGTCTTACTGCAACTGGATATGCCATGTTTTGTCGATATTCAGAGAAGACCTGGTCTTTCCTTACACAGAAATGGTGGAGGAGTGGATTGGGGGTTGGGAACCCAGGAGGGATTTGGGGAAGGGACTGGGAGGAGAAGAGGGAGGGGAAACTGTGGCAAGGATGTAAATACAGAAATAAATAAATTTGTTATTTTTAATGTTAGCCTCTGAGTATGACTGTGAGGAGATATCTGGATGGGTTCGTTGATGTGGGAAGCTCTAAGTTAACTGTGGGGAGCAGCATTCTGTGGCCTGGGATCATGACTAAATAAACAAAGACAAAGCAGGTTAATTGGGAGCATCCATTGATGTCTGCTCCTTGACTGTAGGAGCAAAGTGACTAAATTACTCAAATCCCTGTCATTACTTCTTTGACAAAACAGACTCTATCCTCAAACTGTGAGCAAAAATAAACCCTCTTCAAGATTGTTTCCTGATGGGTATTTTTTGTTAAAACAATAAGAAAAGTAGTGAAGACAGAGACTAATTCTTATAAATCAGGAAATAAAAATATTCTCAAAGTCATCTATACTATTGAAATAAGGCTATGGGGATGAGCACTATTAAATTCTATTGTATTTCTAATGTGAGATTGCATCCTATTCTGGTGAAAATGGCCTCTCACACATCATCTACTAGCTGAATACTGAGACCGACTCCACTGGGCTGAACCCCTAAAGCTTACTTCCTAATGGTATACTATAACATACTAGCTTTAAATGTCTGGGTTTTCATGATATGGGCACTAAACACAATACATGCTTAAAATGTAACAATGGTTTTTCACAGGAAATAAAAAAGTCTTCAATAGGTATCTGCCATTAAACAATGAACTTGGATTAAATTCTGTTAGAAAACAAGGCATGACATTCATTATATAACTATTTTCAGAATAAAATTAGAAGGCCCTTTTCCACATGACCCCATGTTTTGCATTTTCTATGACATGCATTGAGACTTGATCAGTTGTTAGATTTTATCAGCTCCATTATCCATCCCCATTGACTCACCTAACTAGCTGTTACTGTTATTTTCAAGCATAAGCAATCTTCTAGTTTATTGGTCAGCTACCCTGGACTTGCTTTTTAGATCTTAAGAAAAGAATACCTGAAAATCAGGAAGGGCTGGATTATTCTCACATTTTAAAAAAATAGTGTGGCTAGATTGAAAAGTAAAGCTTCTGTATTTAGCAATTAACAAGTTGTTGTTTTAGTTGTTAGTTATGTTTTACTCCCAGAAAATATAATTTCCAAATACTTACACGCACAGTTGTCTCCAGACTCAAATCACATTTTCTCCTGGATCATATTCGACATTGTCTTCAAGAATTTCTTAATTACAAGGTTCATGACCTAAAATATGGATTGATTTAAAATAATTTAATATGATATTAACAATACAAAATATTTCCATAATAAGTTGAAATTTTCTAGGTAATACTCATACTAAAATTATACATTCTTGAGCTATTCTAATTTTTAACAAACTACAGAAATGATACTGGAAAGAATAGTCTTTTTCCTGACTTTTGGTATCTTTGTTTATAATATGTTTGAGTTACTATAAAACAGTTTAGTCACTGAATGTAATTTTTCAATATAAATCATAGATTATATAATAACAACACAGATGACCTAGAAATGTATGTATTTCCTATAAGTAAAAAGTTTTCAAAGTGGTTATATTTTCAAAGAAAATCCTGGCAGGCCTGGAGGTATACAATTTTAATCCCAGGACTCTGGAGGCAGAGGCAGGTGGATTTCTGTGAGTTCCAGACCAGCCTGGTAACCTGGGGAGTTTGAAGCCAGGCAGAGTTATGCAATGAGACCCTCATAAAACAAATAAACAAAAATGATTTTGACTATTAGCATTTACATCTTTTCTTTCTTCATTGGTTTATTAATATATTTTCCTAAAGTATTTGTAACTTTAGTAGATTTTTCTACAGTTATTTGTATTTTTATGTGATTTACAAGTACTTTCAATCATTCTACCTTAAAACAATGAGTATGGTTTTCTGAAACTTCAATTATCATTCAGAGTCAATTGAAAAAAAGAGAGAGAGAAGCAGTTTTCTGAGGATGAGAGGGATACATGCATTTGTATTGAAGAGGGGTAAGGGTCCATGTAGTTTTCTAAGCTCTTATTAGCATAGCAATCATAACTTATTAAGATGCCTGGTTAAGGAATATAAAATTATAGCAATTTGAAATTCATCACTAAATAACACATTTCATCTGGAGCTGGGGGCAGTACAGAGTACTCTAGGTTTCCTGGGATTGTTAGTGAGTTAATGAGTCATGGAACCCTGGGAGCTCTGACCTATGACCTGCTTCCAACCATGCTGCTATTGCAAAGAAGCAAAGATGTCAATATTGATTTGTTCAGATCAGCATGAACATAACTTTACAGATTCTATTCATAAAATCACTATCTCTCTATACATGGGTGGATGTATCTCCCTTTTAGCTTTTTTTAAGTATCATGCTGTTAATCATGATTAATTTTGAAACATTTTGTTATTCAAACAATGAGAAAAATAATTCATTTTTGTGTTAAATATCCAAAACAAAAATTATATTTGCAAACTCTATTTTTGGTGGTTACATATCATCTGATGTAACTAAATATTAAAGAATCTTTTCTGAAAGCCAGAAACATGGCTCAGAAGGAAAAGATGCTTGCCACCAAGCCTGCCGACCTGAGTACCCAAATGACCTGATGACCCACAGGTAGAAAAGCAAGAATAAACATTCCTAATAATCCTAATAATATTCTGACCTCCACACATACACCATGCAAGTGCGTGCCCCCTCCACAAAAGCACAAAACTTAATTAATGAATACAAAACACTAAATAAAAGGTTACAAAGCTAAACACATGATCAGTTGGTTTAAGATTTTGCCTCTAATAAACTAATATTTTGTGATTGGCTACTCTAATTTTTTCAGTTCATTCTCTGATAGCTCCAGTTTGTCTTTTAGTATAGAGTCAGATTATAGCAAATTTGTCTGGAAGGCTTGCAAGTTTTATCCCTACTTGTGCACACACATGCACACATGTATAATACACACAAGCAACTCTAGTCACATCAACACAAATATCTAGATACTGGCCTCAAGTGTCTACAGTTATATATCATTTATATTTGAATTTGAATTGATTATCTGTAATATCAGAAAGTTGAAAATAAATTCTAGTGAAGCATATAATAATATTGTTTTAGATGTTATTTGCTTCATATTTGTTTATATTTTGTTTTCAAACACAATATTAATTTTCATTTATCTAGGATAGTTGGAACATTGAATAATCCAACTGACTTTTTGATTTATATAATTGTATTTAAATTACAATAGATTTGCAAAAATTCCTCTGAGATACAGCTTAATCTTCTTTTTAATTATCTCTTATTGCAATGTATTATTCCTTTAAGTTTTCTATTTCCTTTCATTTGATAGCATGGTTTTTCAAAGACAGAAGCGAAATTTGAGTCATCAGTGCAATTTCCTGATTAGAAGTACATGAGTATCTACTGAATACATAGATAAATAAATGAATTAACTGACAGAGTACTTTATAATACCAAAGTTAGTATCAAGAATATTGAGCATAAATAGCAATTGTCATTTCTTATTTTAGAAGATTTTTTTGTTGTGAATCTATACCAGCAGTTTTCATCCTGTAGGCCACAACCTTTTGGATCATATATTATATATTTATATTACAATAATAACAGTAGAAAAATTACAGTTATGAAATAAAATAATTTTATGGCTGGAGAGTCACTACAACATGAGACACTGTATTAAAAGTTCACAGTTTTAGAAATGTTGAAAACCACTGCTCTAAACTGACAATGAAATTCTGATGTAAAATACTTATAGTAGCATCTCTACTTTCTTACAAGATTACATCATGAAAGCTATATAGTCTTTAAAACTGCAGATGCCAGGATGTCAAATAAAAAATAGTCCACTAACTCTGGAAAGTATTAAAATTAAACAAAATTTAAAGCACTGAAAGCTATGTTTAAAAGATGATGAGTTCATATTCTTCTGTATGTATGTACAAATATATGCAAATCAAATATAAATAAATATAATTCTGTTTATAAAACAGATTGGTTTAGCAAAACAATTCTTTGATGACTTAGACACATGTCAAGATTAAATTTCCTTTATTATTCACAGGAACTAAAATCAAGGCAAAGTGCTTCAAAATCATGTTTGGAGGTTTCCCAAATATAACATATTGAGATATATTTTCCCAACACTACTCTTATTTTGGCCGTTATCTACCAGATTTCAAAACCAGAGTTCTAAAACTGCATCTTAGTGATATCTATCTTAGTTATCATCAAGTCGTGTTGGCCACAATAACTGGAGAAATATTCTCAATGCAAACAGCTTCACTTTTACAGCTTTCTACCATCACTCCATTCCTTAGTGATCTAGTACACTTGCTCCTGGGAACAAGGTGCACTTCACACTGAGTACAGCATTCCCAATCAGCCTATGTTTGTTAAGATTATAGCAGCAAATTTGTGTGGCAATCATCAGTCATACACAAGACTCAAAATATCCAATCTATGGTGATTCAGTTTGCTGTTGTCATCTGCTGTTACAAGGTTTAGCCCAAGTCTCTCTGATAACAGCCACAGGCGATGAGTGAGAGCAGTGAAGGAACCAACCCTTTCACCATAGGATCTTTAGATGAGTCATAGATAGACCATGGTGGGCAAGTGGATGGCACCATTGCAAATGTAACTGAAAATCAACTTAAATTGTGTCTCATACTGGTAAGTGCAAATTTTAAATTGTTTCTTATAAAGTTCATGAACTTATTGGAGCATAACTATAAATATTGCTCATTTAAAAACTATAAATCAGTATAAGTTAATCAATATTAATTTGTCAGGGCACAACGATGCAAATTCTCCTTGGGTCTCCAATTTACTATTAGTCCAAGAGACTATGCTTGAATCTGACAATGAAAATGGAGCATTTGGCTGACTAATAGTGAGCCTGAAGAAACTGAAGTTCTAGGGAAAGTTTTGTATACAGTGTATTCAAATAGTGGCATCATAAAAAACGGTAGCATTCTAAGTTTAAAAAAGAGATGGATATATGAAGCTTGCTAATTTGACTTCAAGGCAGGTTGGAATAGCCTTCCCTAACACTGAGCTAGTATGCAAGCCAAGGAGCTCAGAGGCTCTGTGCTGACTTGCTTATCTGATGAGCATTCCAGGCTGGATGGCTGAATAACTATTAAGGCAGATTCTTTTGTGATCAGGTTTGGGATTTCATTTTACACTCTAGAGCATTTACTCATGGGAATAATTTTCCCATTGTGGGCATAATTAGCCACTTTCCGGTAATTTTAGCCACACTCTTTTTATTTGAAAAGGCAAGTGGCCAATATCAGCCCAATTAGCAAAAGGTGGAAGGGAGCCTTTAAGAAAAAAAAAAAAAAAAAATACAGCTCTGCAGCTCTGTACTTGATGGAACACTCTCCACATCTAATGTGGAAAGAATTCATTGAAGTAAGATGTGACTAAACTCTGATCAGGCTAGCAAAACCTCTGATTTAGGCTGGATGAGCCATGGATAGATGATAGATAGATATAGATAGGTAGGTAGATAGATATATAGATAGATAGTTAGTCAGAGCCCTCCCTTCTTGTAGGGTCATCAGAAGAGCACATCTTTCAACTGTAACTGCACAGCAGGCAGGGCAAAGTATCAGGATGCTCTTATGCATCTTTTTACCATATGTAAAATATGGAGCCAAGTACTGACAGTCAGCTAAGAACTGCACACTATAAAGACGCCTATGACATTATCAGAGCTTCTGAATCTGGCCCTGTTTAAAGTTAATTACAATTCTGAAATTCCTCTTCAGTGTGAATACGAAATTTTGATTTTAAGGTTTGCTTTGTTTTGTAAACATTTTGAGAAATTCTGTTGTAGTAGAAAATTCACTAATTTTAGAATAAGATTCACTTCGCACTCTATGAAAGAATAGCATGAAATACCTACAAAATGAGACAACTGTGTTCCTTTCCATTATATAATCTAAATACTTCAGGATTTTTTAACCAAAGTAAAAGTTAAAATTTTTTACCAAAAAAAGTTTTTAAAATGTTATCATTCCTTGTCTAATATATTCTTTCTCTCTCCACCTTCCTATCTCTGTCTCTATCTTTCTTGCCTTTTGTTAGAAACATTATAAAAATGTTGTAAAAGAAAACAAAGTCAAACAGACAAAAACTAAGCTTGCTTCACTTACATACATACTATCCCAGATTGCTATATGGAAAAACTAAATCTTTCCTTCAATTTAGCACAA